GGCGGGGGACCTGGTATCTGGTGTGAGCTGCTGCACTTCGCAGGTCACAGAGCTTCACCCACCCACTCTGTAGCAGACCCCCAGCCTCCGGCTGAGTCACTGACAGCCTCGAATCATGGGTTAAAGACTTCAAGTTACAGAGAATCCTCCATTGACACTAGTTTAAACCTGCCCATGCCCCACACCTCAGGCTGCAGACGAAGGCAAACCCCCCCACACCAGGGTCTCTGCCAATCTGACCGGGGGGAAATTCCTTCCTGGCACCAGATACAGTGACCAGTTAGACCCTGAGCATGTGGGCAAAATCCACCAGCCAGACACCTGGGAACGGATTCTCTGTAGTAACTCAGAGCCCTTCCCAGCAAGTGTCCCATCTCCGGCCATTGGAGATATTTGGTGCTAACAATCGCGGATTGGATCCATGCCGTTGTGGGATGTCTCCTCATCCCTTCCCCTCCAGAAACTTCTCATGCTCATTCTTGAAGCCAGTTAGGTCCTGTGATGAAGTGGGACTGTTCTTAATGTTTCCTCTGAATACTGTGTGGATGCCTCAGTTTCCCCTATGCATTTCTTAAGTCTCCAGTGTGCATAAATGGCCGACACTTTGTATCCTGGCAACAAATGGCTGGGGCCCTTCCCCCCTGCAAGGGAATAGCTAAAGGTGAACAAAGAGATCAGGTGACTTCCTGGCCCGGGAAAGAGACAAAGGCCAGAAAGGAGGGGCTGGAGGGGGTTTCCGTTTGGAGCTGGCTGGGGACTGGAAGAGAGGGCAGATGTGGTTGTCTGGCTTGCTGGGCCCCAGAATGGACCCGGCCGAGACATCCCGTTCTTTGTACCTACAAGCTCTGTTTTAGACCGTGTTTCTGTCATCTAATAAACCTCTGTTTTACTGGCTGGCTAAGAGTCACGTCTGACTGTGAAGTGGGGATGCGTGCAGGACCTCTGGCTTCCCCAGGACCCCGCCTGGGTGGACTCGCTGTGGGAAGCGCATGGAGGGGCATATGCTGAATGCTCCAAGGAGAGACCCAAGAGGTGAAGCCGTGTGAGCTTCTTGCCCTGAAGACAGTCTGCTCCGAGGGAGAGGAGGCTCCCCAGAGTCCGGACTGGCTTTGTGGGGAGCAGTTCCAGAGCATCGCCTGGGGACTCTGTGACAGCTCCCTTGGGAGGCTGCTCCAGAATTTCGCTCCTCTGATGGTTGGGCCTTGTCTACACTACTGTGTTGTTGACAAAAAGCTCCATAATAACATCTCTATTGCACATTCACACTGCGCTTCCTCTGCCGGCAGAGCACGTCCACTTTTGGTGCTCCAGTGTCGACAGCGAGAGCAGTGCATTGTGGGTAGCTATCCCACCGTGCTACTCGGCACCTTCTGCAGCTAAGGATTGTGGGAGGGCGGGGGGGATTGCAGCGCATTATGGGGGCAGGATCAGCATCCCATGGTGCCTTATTTTCTGTCCCAGCATTCCACGCTGTTCCAACTGCGTTTCGCGGCATTTTCCAACAGCCCCTGTTTCTGGTGCGCCCGACATCCCTGTGTGAAAGGATGGATCCCTCCACTGCTGTGAACACAGCGTGGCAGGTCAGGCAGGATGTAATGAGCTCCCGGTGTGAACAGGAATCAGAGTTACCCGAGCTGCTGTGTGCCATGGAAAGAAACAACGCCAGCTTCCTTCTGGCATTCACGGAGCAGCTGCACATGGTGCTTTTGGGCTTGGAAAGGAAGCACTGAGTGGTGGGATCACATTGTTATGCAGGTCTGGAATAGACAATGTGTGTGGGGGAGACATGCTGGGTCACATGCCACCTACCCCCAAGTTCTGCCAGGGAGCGAGTCGGACTGATCCCGGTGGAAGGAATATGCATGGGAAAGACTCCAACAGTGAGCGCTCCCACTGAACCCCACTAGGCGTTGCCCAGAGCCGGGAAGCAGTGCAGTCCTTTGCCAGAGGTGGCATGGGGAAGCCGGCTGAGTCCCATCCCTTCTTTGCCAGCAGCTGCATGGCTCCCATGAGAATAACTCCTCTTCATGGAAAACACAGGTCTGGTGAAATAAGTATTAATTCAGCAAGGAAATGTATGTACCTGCTTGAGTGCAGGTCTGGACTAGTCTGTCTGGGTGCACAGAAGGGAGCTCAGGGAGTCGGGGCAAGGGGGGAGGCAGCGGGGGCCAGGGGCGATATGGCAGGTGGGGGGCTGGGAGCCAAGGCGCAAAAATATAAATTTGCCTAGGATGCCATTTTCCCTCAGAAAGACCCTGGCAGGGCCGACCTTAAGTATGGGCGAGGTGGGTGACCACCCAGGCGCCGTGGTCATGAGGTTGTTGCTGGAGGGGCCCTTTGCAGTCACCAGGAAGCTGACTGTGGCTGTGGTGGTGGTGGGGAGCCTGTCATTGCGCCCCCCCCCCCCGTCCCCACTATCTGCAGTTACCAGTCACCTGGCCTGGGACAATGAGTTGTGGATACAGAACTTTCAGATGAAGGAAGCCACCTTCCTGGACCTGTGTGCGGAGCTCGACCCAGCCCTGTGGCACAAGGACACCCAAATGAGAGCAGCCTCTTGTGGAGAAGTGCCTAGTGATTGCAGTGTGGAAGCTGGCGACTCCAGACTGCTACCAGTCAGTTGGAATCAGCTGGGAGTGGGGAAGTCGACCGCGGGTGCCCTGTTACCACAAGTGCGCAGAGCCATTAAACGCATCTCGCTACGAAGGACTGTGACTCTTGGCAATGTGCATGAAATAGTGGATGGGCAATGGGATTCTCTAACTGCAATGGGGTGATAGATGGAACGTGTGTTCCAATTTTGGCCCCGGACCATCTTGTGATAGAAAACATCAATAGAAATGGGTACTTCTCCATAGTATTACAGGCGCTTGTTGATCACCATGAGTGTTTCACTGACATCAACGCAGGGTGGTCCAGGAAGGTGCATGACCACACATCTTCAGGAACACTGGCCTGTACAGAAAACTGCAAGCAGGGACTTTCTTTCCAGGTTGGAAGATTCCAGCGGAGGGTGTTGAAATGCCCATAGTGATCCTGGGAGACCCAGCGTACACCTTACTCCCATTGGCTCATGAAGCCGGGAAACCCGGACAGCAGCAAGGAGCACTTCCAGAATAGGCTGAGCAGGTGCAGAATGACCGTGGAATGTGCTTTTGGTAGATTAAAAGCGCGCTGGTGATGCCTTTATGGCAGGTTAGACCTAAGTGAGGAAAACATTCCCATGGTCATAGATGCCTGCTGCATGCTCCATAATCTTTGTGAGGCTAAGGGTGAAAAGTTTGCCCAGGGGTGGAGCGCTAAGTCAAATCACCAGGCTGCTGACTTTAAGCAGCCTGATACTAGGGATATTAGGGGGGCACAATAGGGGGCAATTCAAATCAGGGAGGCTTTGAGTCAACATTTTGATAATGAGCACCTGTAATGTGTATTTCTATTCAGCAAAAAGCCATGATTCATTAATTTGATTTTTTTTATTTTGCCTAACACTTGTGATGCATCCTTAGCTGGATTTAGAGTAAGCAAATGATTAAACTACATGTACCAGCAGTAATCAATATGTGTAGGACACAAATAAAGATTTGGTTCTC